TCTTAAGAGGGTTAGGTAAAATGCTGCGTATATCAAACTTAACATTGAAGTAATTTGACTTTGTATTTAACGCCTTGAAATTGGGCCTCTGTCCCTTTAAGAAGCTCCAACTCTTTCCAACACTCTGCCTTCTGCACGTCACGACGTTTCTCCATTGTGCCGTTTATAATGGATCTTAGCAGCCGTGGACTGAGTCGTAGTTTGTATTTTAAACTGAGCAGATGCACATTTCCACCAGGTGTTTGCTAATTGCTGCTGCCGCTAGTCTGAATCGTTTAGCTACAGCGCTCTGAAAACATTGTTCTTTAATGTGCGTTGACGTTACGGTATGGTTTGTCAGGGTGTCCACGCATCCTTTAAGTCTTTAACTCATGTATCGAAAATTAAGGCCTTAAAATTTCTTCAATTATTTTCTTTTATTTTTTTAAGTAAGTCTTACATTTGGTTGTGGCAGGACTAGTTTTTTTGTTTCTCTCGCGAGACTTTTCAGTCAGGCAAACGTCTGATTCGCTTTTGGACATCTTCATTACGTTCTGTACCTCTGTACGGTTGAGGCTACCGCTAACTAGCCGCTAATATACCTCTGCTAGCTACCTAGCTAACTTTTTAAAATTTATCGCCAGTTGGCTGGAAGACGTTCGTACATTTCTGTGGTGATAAAAGTCTCAGTCTTACGTTTGAGTTGGTGAAACTCTGCTGTTCGTTTTGAAAGGTTCAAGCGTTGAATTTTCATCAGGCACCTCAAAGCTGTCCTAAAAACAGAACATCTTGCATCATTTGTGTGCTTGTGGATTTACTCAGTTGTTTTTTATGTAAAAATGACAAACAGTTTATGGTTATTCGTCTTACTCGGTTTGTTTTGTCATAGTTTTAAAAATTGTTGATTTTTCTCCTTTTAATCTACTTTTATCAGGCAGAATATTAAATATTTCAAATCAAATCTATATGTTTGCACACCAACAGCATGAATAATTAACATTAGCGATCGCCTGCATGACATAACAAACATGCTCAAAATCTGCTTTTATTCACTGATGAGAAAGCTGTGCATCCTAATATTTTATTAAACTAACCAAACAGACGACAAAATTTAGTGCTTTTCTTTTTTGGGTCCCCCTGATAAACTAACATTGCTCTGCAGTCGTTGGGTTCTGGTTCCGGCTTCAAGGTGAGTCTGTGGAGTGACGAGAGGAAACCAAAAAACCCGTAGATTGACACCGAAGCCAAACCTCTCTCACTTGACTATTGCAGGGTTCCAGCTTCCTCCCAGTGGAAAGCCTTTACAAGTAAACAATAACAAACAAGCTTCTACTTCTTTCTTGTCACCATTGCTAGACAAATGTTTATGGATCAGCAAGGAGACGAAAAATGCGTCCTTTTGAAGGTTTTCAACGCAAGGCTATTGTAATTTGTCCCACGGACGAGGATTTTAAAGAACGAACATTAAAGCAAACCAATGAGCAGGGGAAGGATGTGCCCGATCATGCTGTGTTAGAAATGAAAGGTAGGAATGCTGTGGAAACAAATTTAAACAAACAAAACAAAAAATAATAATTTTTAAAAAAAAGAAACGATCTACTTTTTTTTTTATTTTACTTTTTCTGTGTTGTCTCTAAAATCAAACTTGGAAGATGTCCCCTCCCTTCCTCCTCCCCCTTTTACCCACCAGATATCAGACCTGGACTTTTATTTTTTTAATTTTTTTAAACAGTTTACATAAATTTGATTCCTATTCTTTGTCCCTTTTTCTGCCACTTTCCATTCAGACTCGAACACGCTGCAAACTGAGACTCGTTTCCTGTTCAGTTCAGATCCGAAAACCAAATTTAGTCGATTGGCGGCCATTAAAAGGCCGCTTCCTGTTGAGTCGATTTCTAAAACCGTTCCAGGATCTGTGTTTGGTTTGCGGTGATGTTCCCTCTTCACTACAACTTTTTAGTTGTCCTTTTTGTCCCCCGTCTCTTCTGATGTCCCCCTTCCTCTCTGTCTGTCTGAACAAATGTTTCCTCCTGGAGGCGACGTTTGTTCCCTTTGCTTTCTTTATCTGCTTCTGTTTTTGTCGCCTTTGCGTTGTACTAATTATTTCTCGTTTTTGTCTTCCGGTGGTGTGGCTGCTCTGGTCTTCACTACGCTCCTCCCCTCCTTCCCGTTCCCGTCTCTGTCTCCCCGTTTCTCTCCACCCGTCTCCGCTCGGATGGGTGGCCGCCCCTCGAAGCCAACTTCACGCTGCCGGAGCCGTGCGACTTCCTGGAGGACGTGGCGTTCGTTGAGCTGCAGCGCGAAGACGCCGAGAAGCTGCTGAAGCAGTACAACGAGGAGGGCCGCAAGGCCGGCCCGCCGCCTGACAAACGCTTCGACAACAGGCAGGGCGGCTTCCGCGGACGCGGCGGCGGCGGCGGCAGCTACCAGCGCTACGACAACCGTGACGGGTTTCGTGGCAGCTACCAGAACCGCAGCGGAGAAGGAGGCAGCGGGTACAGAGGAGGTGAGGCGCTTAACTTTATTGGCATTTTACATTATTACAGTAAAACATACCAATCACGCAGAACCTGGGGAACTGATGCGTCTTCTCAGTGGAATAAAACAAAGTGTTAGATCTAATGTGTAGTTCCCACAAGTCTGAACCGGAAGTGATCCGCGCCGTCTTAGTAGGCGAGCGCAGCACGACGCTTTGAGACCAACAATAAGAAAATATGTGGAAACTCTTCCCCACAAGCGAGAAATGGATACCTGGACAAAATGGCTGCTGTGGGGTTCGACCCGTATGAGACAGAGAAGTAAAATATGTCAGATGATCTCATATCATCACATAGTTAACTATAACTGATTAAACTGCTTTAACATTTTTGTTCCTTAAAAAGATGGAGATTTGTTATTTATTTTGTCTTTTTGTTGCCTAGGTTACAACCGCGGCAACTACAGCCAGAACCGGTGGGGTAACAGTTACCGTGACGGCGGCTCGGACACACGCGGCAGCTACAACCGCAACCAGCAGTCGGGCGGAAGCTACAACCGCCCCGCTTCCTACAACAAGACAGGATACAACCAGGTAGCTGCAGCTTCCCCTCAGCTGGTGGGGTTTGGTTTGGAGTCGGAGACATTTTACAATCTGGCGTTGCTTTGACCAGCAGGGCTACAGCCAGGGCTACAACCAGGGCTACAACCAGGGCAACTACAACCAGAACTACTACGGCAGCTACAGTCAGTACCCAGGATACAGCCAGAGCTACAGCCAGACGCCCACCACCCCACAGACCTACAACCACCAGCAGCAGCAGCAGCTGCCGCCGGCGCAGCAGCCGCCAGCGCAGCAACAGCAGAGCTACAACCAGCAATATCAGCAGGTCAGGCAACGTCTCCTCCTCAAGCAGAAAAAAAGAGAAATTTTGAGATTAATCTTAGAAATTTTCCAGACCAATGCTGGGTTTAAAGTCAAAATTTGTCCTCTTGGAAATTTTCTGAGTTTGAAGAGTCAAATGTTTGATCTTTGAAACTCAGAAAAGTCCAAGTTTACTGAAGAAAAATTTTTATATCAATTTTAAAAGTGCTGAGTATTTTTCTAGCAAATCTTAAACTTTAAGACTCAAAAATTTCTGTTTTTTTTCCTATAAAAATCTGAAGTTAGTCTAAAAAACTGACACATTTAAAATATTACTAAAGTTTTTCAGTAATTTGGCACTGTTCACCCTCCGTATAAGACTGGTCTGTTTATTTAACCAAATAGGACAGAAAAATGCTTAATATGAAGCTAAAACTTGAGTTCTGTGTAGATCATCTGTACAAAGGTGTTTTTAATGCTAAATGTAAACATTTTTACACAGCTTTGGCATAATATTAGCTGGGTTTTTGTTTTTTTGTGAATGGCCTTTTTTCTAGTCTGTATGCTTCAGTTAATCGATTAATCACAGCTAACCTGATTGTTTCAGTTTTGATGATGACAGTTCGATCAAACAATAAGCTGTTTTCAGCCTTCATGGATTGAAATCTGACTTTCTTTCCTCCCTCGTTTCTTCCAGTACGCTCAGCAGTGGCAGCAGTACTACCAAAACCAGAACCAGTGGAACCAGTACTACAGCCAGTACGGCGGTTACCCTGGACAGGGCAGCCAAGGCTCGTCTTCTGGCTCCCAGTAGCTTCCTCCTGCATCTCCTCCTCCTTCTTTCCCTAACACCTGTGACCTCTGACCTCTGCAGCTGATCATTATTGTTTTTGTACAGTTTAAGTCACCAACTATGGATCCTGTCCGTCTTAACGCGCTAGCCTCCCATTTCTCACGCGTTGTTATCCAGTTCGATGTGGGATTATTTTCACTAAGCATTGAACGTGAGGTGGTAGATGATAGATATTCTAAACTCGTAATGAATGTTATTGATTATGCATCAGACGTGGACGCCTGGCGTCCTCATTCCCCCCTCAGTTTGAAGAGGCGGTTGTGTATATTTATGGGCTACAGCGCGAGAAGGCAGGAAGAAACAGCCTGACTGAGCTTAACGGAGAACAAATGCATGCTTTTTACCTCTACTGCCCCTTTTCTTCTCTCTTGCTCTTTGCTTTTCAGTTACGGAGTGAGCATCTTTTATTTACCGCTATGGAATCCGAGCATTATGGAGCATTTTTATAGGTGTTGGTACTGTAGTATTTAATCTGACCTTTTGATTATGAGTAATCCTTTGCTGCTTGTGTAGTCGTAATTTGCTTTACTTTTATATATAATTTCTATCCCATTTTTTTTCTTTTATTGCTGTTTGAGTCCTGTAGTTCAAGCCAGTTTTTTTCTACCTTTAAAAAAAAAAAACAGAATCAGAGTTTTTGACCAGTTACGCCAGCTGTCTTGTCTTTATACAATAAACACAGTTGTAAACACCTACAGATGTGTGGAAAATGTCTTTTTGGTTCCCAATTTTTAAAGGAAAGTCAAACACAACACTTAACTTATGACTGTATTTGTATTTCTCTTTATTTGTTTGATAAAACTGAAATCAACAAAGGACAAAAGGAGGAAGATGAGAATAATTAGACCGTGTGTTGTTCCAGTGCAGTCCTGCTGAACCGTAAATGAAGAAATTTTATTTTCAGGGCAGGAAATAAACATTTTGTTGGCATGTTGCTTCAAAACATTATGAAGGGGTGCATAAAGAGCCCAATGTCGCACTGCATTCCAGTTACCTCGTACAAAACAGTTTTAGGGCCACACTAAACAAATAAAATGAGAATAAAGTCAGTATTACAGCTTTACCAGAATAAAGTTGAAATAATACAAGAGGTTGTAAACGACTGTCATGACTTTTCTCATATTCAACTAACTCATTCAGTGGTAATCTGTCTATTCTCATAATACAAAGACTTAATCGTATTATTTTGGCTATATTCTCATAGTTGTCCAATAAGCTGAAATACAAATTGTAATAAGTTATATCAAGAATTTACAAGACAACTTTACAAGAATATTCAGTTTTACGAGAAAGCAGTAGAAATGCAAGTCGTAATAGTATTAACGAATCCAGTGGAAATACAATTGCAAAAAATTGTCGAGATTAAAATCAAAATTTGAAAAGTCATAAGTATTGTATTATTTTGACTNCATTNTCTTACAACTTTATTCTCTTTTTACTTTAATTTTAATTTATTTTCTTATTGTGGCCCTAATACCTGGGAAGTGGGAACTTGAAGCTGGATTTTCCCCAAGGTAACAACATGGCGATACCCATAAACATCGTTTTCAATACATTTCAAGTGACAGTTTCCACCTTTAATTTTTTCATGTTATGTAGTTTCAGATGCTACATGTAACGTTGATTTGAGGCACATTTTTGCACATCTTGAAAAAATAAACATGTTTCCAACACATCTTGCTACTATTGATGTGAGGAGCGGCCATATTGAAACAGGAAGTCGGCATTTCCCAGCTCTTAGTAAAGCTGGAACGCAGCATCAGTTTCAGTGACATCAAATCCAATCCCAAATAAAGTCATGTGTTTACTTACCCAATTTACTAATCATTCGTCATATAGCTGCCGAAGTTGAACTATTTGTTTTTGCTGCTTAGTGTTAATTTCCTACCCTGCTCCTGTGTGCAGGAAGCTGTGTGTCCCAAGAAATGTCTGTAGATTTGCAGAAATTCATCTTAGCACCAGAAATGCAAGGCACGTGTTCTTCAAATAAAACAAGGTTTTCATAAATTACACAGGAAACAAACAAAACAAAACAATGCTTGAAAACTCCAGAGTCAAACTAACAAGAACGTCACAACTATGAAGTCCATTTACAGCCAAGAGTCTGATAAGTTCGACGTCAGCGGCGGAACAAATATGGCGGCGGCGCCGGTTGGCTTTTTGTCCGAGCAGGAAGAGGAGCGTTCAGTCCGGCTCTCGGCTTTTGTCTTTGTGCAGATGAAGCTCGTCCAGCTTGTCCTGGAGGAAGGAAACCGGCATGGAGCAACCTCTGCTTCGGTGTGGCAGCGTCTTGGCCTGGAAGGTGAGTGAAACGGGAAAACTGTTTAACCACAGCGCCCATGCTAACTAGCCTAGCAGAGAGAAACGGGGCGGGAGTAATCAGTTCGTACATGATAGTGATTGGCAGAGCTAAGAGCCGCTCCCTTGCTGTGATTGGTTGTTTCTGACTGAGCGGTTTCTTTCTACGGACAGCATTCCGTGTCTGTCTCACATCATACTGACGGTTACTACAAATGTTTTTAAAAAATAAGATGGCGTATTAGGACTGAAAAAAAGGAAGAGTATATTTCTGCCAGTATATTTTGTTATTAATAAAAACATGGGAAATTCTGAGTTTGAAAAGTCAAAAGATTTCCTAGAAAAAACTCAGAAATGTTGAGATTGTCTGAAATTTTCTAAAAAATAATAATATTTCTGAGTTTGAAAAGCTTACAAATTTTTTACTATTGAAACTTGGAAATGTTCATGTTTTTTTCTAGAAATTTTTTTAGATTAATTAAAAGATTTCTAGTTTTTTTTCTAGCAAAATTTAGACTTTTGGAGCTCAGAAATGTCCTTATTTTTCTAGAAAATTTAGGGTTTTTTTGGCAAAAATGTACTCATTTTTTTCTATCTACCATGGTGTCGTAAAAACATTGTTTAATCAAGAATTAAAATCAACAAAACATCATTTATTAAAATTTAAAACAATTACTCTTTAAAGTTAAAACACCTTAAAATTATGAGTGCAGTTTCCTTTAGCTGTAAGTTATTTAAAAAACATACATTTACAGGAGATTTTTAGCACACAGTGTTTTTCACTTAAAGTAGAAGCTCCTGTACAAATAATTAAAATAAATCTATCTTGCATACTGCAGCTTTAAATTTGATGCCAAATGGTATCCTATAGCGTAATCTGCTCTTGTAAAAATCAAAGTAAAGTTGGTCTAAAGATCCCCTCTTTCTGTCAGGTGTGTTTACATCTCACCCGTCTGTCAGGGGACGCGTGTCCAACACAGTTGAGGTGGTTTCCCCTCCGGTCTTTCCTCTCAGGCGTCCAAACCCCGGGGTCGGTCTGAGTGGAGCGGTCCGACAGCGTGGAATCGCCCATGTTCTGTGTCCAGTCTGACATTACTCTGTTCTGTTCAGTGTCGTTGCTTTGGGGGAAAACGAAGGCCTCTTCCTCTGAACCTGGTGGAGAGAATCACACACGAGGTTATTTACACAGAGGTGTGTGTGTGTGTGGGTGTGTGTGTGTGTGTGTGTGTGTGTGTGTGTGTGTGTGTTGTTTGGATAAAGCACGTACTCCAGCTGTTGCCCTTGGTTCTGGAGTCAGGACCAGGAGTGCATGGACATGACCCGGTTGTGTTTTTGTGTTTCTTCTGGCAACCCGTCCGCACCAGATCCCTGCAGTGTCGGTGACAGTTTATCCCACAATCTAAGAGCAAGACGCACAACAAGGACAAAACTTAACAAAACATTTTTAAGGTTCCCTTAAAAAAAGATCAAAAAGTTAACAGGTGAAGATGATTGTTTGTAAAGTTACATAGTCAAACATTGATGGTAATAATTTGGGTCCTGTAGCTCAGCTTGTCAAGAGAAAAAATAAATTTATCATTCATATTTTCACAGTGTTATTCACTTTTGATTTATAAATGTCACAATCCCAAACTAAATAACTGATTGAAGTTAAACATTTATCTTGGAGCTAAATATTTAGAACAAAGCTAAATATTTTTGTTTAATTGAACATTTAATGTCAACACACTAAATATTTAGAACCAAGCTGCATAATCAGTTAAATATTTTATTAGCTAACTAAATGTTTCAACAATCAGTGTGGCTTTAAGTTCTTTTTCTCCTGTAATAACAGTAAAAATGATTAATCTGTGGGCATGATGGGCCTTGTCTTACCTTTGCAGTGATAGCCCTGTTTGATGACGCCCCACAGCTGAACAGGGCAGAGACGACAGGTTAAACTCAACATTTGGTTCAAACCAGAAACACAACAAACCGCTGATGCTCACAAAGCCTCCACACGTGTCGCAGAACGTCGGCCGCTTGTACGTCGTCTCGTGGAAGTTATGCGTTTCGTTGAAGTTGTAGCCTAGCTTAGCGCAGACGGACATTCCTCTCATGAAGTAAGAGGTGATTTCTTCTCGGCTGATTTGCCCCTCCCTGGGAAGAAGAATTTATCAAATTAGGACCTAAAATCTAAAATCATGAGGGGTTTTTTAAATGTAGTAGATGTATTATTGTTTTTACGTTATTATTTATTGGATAGATAAAAACAAGACATTTTTCTCATAAGTGAAATGATCTGCCAGTGGAACTAGACCTGGGTTGCTAGGCGACGGGCTGGGCTTGGCTGGGGTTGCTAGGTAACGGTGCAGTAGAACATTCTACCAGTTGAACTAGAACTTTTTAAAGGTTTCAAGGATTTTTTAAAATTGTAATACCAGCTTCCCTTGTTTGTGGTACAAAATTTGGACTCGGGTCCCAGATTAAGACATCTAATAAAAATATATATAATAAAGTAATAACCATTTTCACCAATATTATTGACTTTAAAGTTAAAGCCAGCTTTTATTTCTTCCTTAAAAGCTACTTTTAAGGAAGTAACTTTAAAAGTTTCGTCTTATTTCAAGATATTTCGCACCAGAAAACAGGAAATGACTTAGTGAAATTTTGTGGTTTTTGCAGTGTGGGTCTGGCTAAGCGTCCCCACCTGTCAGTTTCTTGAGTACAGTAGGTGAATGGAAAGTTGGCTGCTATTTTCTCAAAGTCCTCCAGTGAAATGTAGCCGTCCTGGTTCAGGTCGTAGTTCTTCATGATGGACTGCAGGGGGCAGCAGAGAAGCAGAAGTTACTAACTGTCAGTTTTGCTTTAGGAGCGTCTGAATGCGCGGAAGTGAAAGGCAAGAGAGTCGTACTCACATCCACCATCTGTTTGACGTGTTTTGAGATGGTGTCGGAGTCGAGCCGGGGGGTGACCCCAGATCCCCATTCTGCCACTACTGGCGGTTTAACAGGAGCGACAGGCTGTGGACCGACACACCAAGGACTGTGAGAAACAAGAAGAAAAAGCACACCCACCACATAATACACTTCCCTAACGTACGACTCTTTGATGTGGCTCACTTTGAAGTATTTCTGCATAGAGCCTGTGCTTTTGGTTTCAAAACGTTACACCCACAGAAAGCGAGAAGATGTCCATTTTGTTTCATGACAAACAGGTTGCATAAGCTCACTCTGGATATCCATACCTGAATCTTAGGGTTTTTGGGCTCCTTGTTGTATGACAGCTCATATATCTCATCCTCTGTGTAGTACAAATCTAAAGACAGCTAAAGATTTAAAACACACATAAATTAAGATGTTCTTGAACTGCTTGGTGGCCATTTTTTTTAGTTTTTCTTCTTGCCCCCCACCGTGAGCAGATGCAGAAGGTCTTTGTTGGCCTCGAACGGCGGCTTGCAGCTGTGAATGGCCAGCAGGTCGTTGATGTTGCTGTACAGGTGCTGCAGTTTGCTCAGGTTGATCTTCTCCTCGTCTATGTAGTCCGGCAGCGCCTCGTTGAGCGAGATCAGGTCCTTCAGGTGGACACCCAGGATGGGCACCTTGAAGCCCCTGCACTCGTTGTAGACCCGCCGGTAGTTGCTGTAGTTGCTCCGCGAAGAGAGGAGTTCTGTGAATTCACTCAGGACCTGTTGGGCAATGAAGAGCGGGAAAAGTTGAGGTTGCTTCAACCTATTACTGTCAATCGATTAAAAAATGTAATCATGATTAATCACATCGTGATTAATGATATTATGATTGATCACGATAAATCACATCATGATGAATCATGATTAATCATAATGTCTTTCATCATGATGTGATTAATCACTATTAATCACATGATTAGTCATGATTAGTCACCTTATTAATCATGATTCATAACATCATTAATCACATTTATCATGATTAGTTATTAATGTGATTAATTAAAAGCAATCTGAAAGTTAACTGGTCTTTGTTACCCAAAAGGTCCATGATTAATCACGATTAATGACGATTAATCACGATTAATGACGATTAATCGCTATGCTTAACTTTGTAAGCTTGAAATATAAATGTGAACGTAGTTAAAAAGCAAATAGTTATCTTTTTCATTATTTCATTTTTTGCAGCAGAAAGCAGGAAATGTAGTTGCTGCGATACTGCACTGCAAAGACACAAAATCTTATCAAGTATTTTTTTGGTCTACTTTCTAGTGCAAATTTCTTATCACACTTGAAATAAGACAAAACTAATTTACAAGTAACTTTTGGTCAGATATAGAGGCTTGTTTTAAATTAATAATTCCTCAATAATGATGGAAAAGTTATATTTCCATTGGCAGATTATTTCACTTGTAGGAAAAATAACTTCTCTACCTTTTGAACTGTATTTTTATAGCATCATTCCTGATGAAACCAATAAATCAGCTCAGATTTCAGATGGGCGGTTGGCCAGTATGTCCATGTCAAACTGATCTTTTCCACCAGTTTCTATCTTCCTCGTCCACCTGACTGACAGATCTGCCTACCAGGTCACGTCTGCATGACCAAATTATTTCCAACATGTTAAGTTTAGATGTCAGGTTGTGTTTATGAACGACCTTTGGCAGATTTGACCTTTACAACATGTTCGGCGTGTGTTGACATCCTGATTGAAACTGAACCTTATCTTTGTTCTGCCACCTTCTCATTTACAGATTTATTTTTAGCTTTTATTTATTACTTTTTTTTTTACTTTAGCTGTTTAAGCTGCTTCATAAAAAGCTAAATATTCTGGTTCTCCTTAAAATAATTTACATTTTGCCTTTCAGACAGAGACTTTACTGTTCATTTCAGCTGAAACATGAGATCTGATCTGTATTTTCCGTGGCTCCATTGTAGGACCTTTTCTCTTTTTGGCGCACACTTATTCTTGGTTCGATTAGAAACATATTTAACAGATCTTTTTATCAAACTTATACAGGTTGTTATATGGCGTCCCTCAGGGCTTCGTTTTAGGCCCCTTTTTTGGAAATACTCCTTGGTTAGATTAGAATCTGTTTAACTCACTCTAAGCAGATTATTTCCACTTTACTGCTCATTTTAAAACTCTGAATCACTAAAATGATCAAACCTACTTAGTTCTTCTCGTTTAGATTATAGATGTTTTATAAATGTTTTTATTTGTTCTCTTGAAAAAAAGACATTTGAATGTCTCAAGATGGTACAAATCTCTTCCATAAGAGTATTTTTGATGGCTTAATGATCAGAGAAAAGGGGTTTAATAAACATTAAAAGAGTGAAACCATCAGGTGTTGCAGTGAAAAGTGCCTAGTCAAAGTCAAATAAACCGTTTGACAAATCCACCTCACCTAAAGGCGTAGTCTGGTTTTGTTGATCAAAAATAGGATAGTCCATTTTGCATTTGTCTTGGCTGCTGATATGGAAATATTAAGCAAATCCACCACAGACCAGCATCAATACGTTACAAAAGAAAAGCCTGGACAGCAAACAGGAAGTTGTAAACAGACTTTTTTCTCTGACAAAATGCTTTAAAACATCACAGGAGATCATATCTGCTAATCTACTGAAAGCTGGTTTGTGTTTTTGCAAGAGTCTTACTTTCAGTGCCCAGAATCCAGTTTTTTATTTTTAACTAAAAACTTATTCAAGTTCGTTTTACATCACAGTGTAGAGAATATTTCATTAATTTACTCTATTAAGAAGAACTGCAGCTTCAGAGGCAAAGTCTTAGTTCATAAGCTAAATATTTAGCCTTAAGCTAAATAATTAGCTCTGATCCACAAGCGAAATATCTAGCTAGAGGCCAAGTATTTACCTTCAAACTAGATACTTTGAAGCTAACTATATCTTAATTAACAAACTAAGCATTTAGTTTGCTGTCTTGAAATTAAATATGTACATTGTAAAGTAATTAGCTTATTTAGATTACTAACTAAATAGCTTGTAGCTAACTAAATTAACTATTTTGCTTGTAGCTAGCTATTTAGCAAGTTAAGCTAGCAGGCTAAATAACTTTGAGCTAACTATTTAGTAAGTTGAACTAGCTTGCTAAATAGCTACAAGCTAAATAGTTTGCATCAATGCACTGTGAGGATAAGTTGTTGACTTTTATGTATTAACCAATTAACAATTGGATAGAAAAAGTGCTTATTTTATCATTTATATATTTATTTAACCAAAATTTTTAACCAAGTGAAGCAAAAATGGTCCCTAAAGGAGTTCTGGGTTGAACATATTTTCAGATAAATAAGATTTATTTTATTTTATTTTAAATGCAAATTTTATTTATTGTTTTACAGCTTTGGCTTAATTACTGCTCTGACTGTGTTATTCTTTCATCAAATGGTCTTTTTTTAGTCTGTATACTCTTAACAATTAATTGATTACCAAATTATTTATATAAATAACTGATTAATCACAATTAATCGTTTCAGCCCTATAAGGTCACATCTGGAACCACTGAAGCTGGGAGGTAACCAGCCACCAGCCCTGACTCTGAGGTTCGCTTGGTACTGAAATACCTTGGTGATGTCAGGGGGCAGCAGGTTGGACGTGTCTTTGAGGCGAGAGATCGAACTGTGACAGAGGCCTCCGGTCACCGCCATTAGAGTGTTAAAGTTTTGCAAGGCTCTCAGTTTCTACAGGGGGGAAGAAAAAAGCATATTAAACAATTTGAAAATGACTCCCTACACTGCAAAAACACAAAACCTTACCAAGTATTTTTGGTTTGGTTTCTAGTGCAAATTCCTTAGTACAGTTAGACACAACTGATTTATAAGTAACTTTTTTTTTAAACAGATGCTTGGTTAAATCAGTAATTCCTTAATACTGATGAAAAATGACTAGCTCCACTCACAATTATTCCACTTATATCAATTCCCATTTTATGAGTGAAATCTACAAGTGGATCCAGTTATTTTGTTTCTTGCTATTTTTCATCAATATTAAGAAATTATTTACTTGAAACAAGCTCCTATCCTGAAAAGTTACGTCTAAATCAGTTTTATCTTATTTCAACTGCATTAAGATGTTTGCACCAGAAACTTGACCAAAATGTTTGGTCAAATTTTGTGTTTTTGCAGTGTAGAAGTTACAGAAGTATATTTCTGGAGACTGGGAGCCACAAGGGCAACATCAAACACATTTTGCACTGCAAAAACACAAAATCTTAAGTACTTTTTTGTCTAGTTTCTTGTGTAAATGTGTTAGTTCACTTGAAAGAGGACAAAACTGAGTTGGAAGTAAACTATCAGCAAGATAGGATCTTACTTTAAATCAAGATCTTTAAAATTTAAACCAATTAATTCCTTAATATAGTTGAGAAAGTACTATTTTCATTGGCAGATTATTTCACTTATAACAACAAATTTTCCTGTGTTATAAATGGAATAACCTGCCATTTTTCATCAATGCTAATGAATTATTGAATTAAAACGAGCTCCTATGTCTTCCTGAACGGCTGCTGATGTTTGCACCAGAAGCCAGACCAAAAATATTTGCAGTGCGTTTAAGAGTTAAAGTCGTACCTGAGCCACATGGATGTACTTGGTGAAGACCTGGGCTCTCTGCTGGGGGGTGTGTCTGCTGAGGATCATCAGCTGGACCCACTGCGAGACGCCGTTGCACATCATGACGGACCGCTCCAGCGCCGGGTTGTCCCTCACAGAACCTCGCACCACGTAGCTGCGGTAGTCCAGGAACTGACCAGAAAAAACGCATCGCATTAAAAGACAAACCAGCTTCTGAAACTCTCCACAGATTTTACAGATGACTTTTCAGTTTCTATCCTCTGATCTGTGACTAAAAGAGAAACAGAGTCACTTTAAGCTGCTGCTGCAGGAAAATCTCACACTGAAAACGTGCGAACACACACCCTTTAATCTGAGCACATTCGCTCAAAAAGGAAAAATCACATCTTTAGAAATAATCTGCAGCAAAATCCCCAAAGCCACTCATAAAGATTCATATAAAATTAATTTAAATAATAAATTAATCAGTCTCTAAAACCCTTTGATTAGTAATAATCAGTAACTTCTTAAAGTGACCTGAAGCAGAGGTCAATTTCTCCTCCTCACTGTTCAATTTGGGAAAGACATGAGAGCATGTTAATGTTATTGAGTATTTTAGCTTGATGTTTCTAACTAAAGGAGTGATTCTGCTGAAACGATTAATCGGATTAATTGTGATTAATCAATTATTGAAATAATTGTGAACTAATTTAGCTATCAATTAATCATTAACTGGAGTATACAGACTCTAAAAAAAGACAATTTTATGAAAAAAAACCCAATATAATCAGAGCAGTAATTAAAACAAAACTTTACAAAAATGCAAATATTTAAGATAAAAACCTTTTGTCTGTAAATATGTTTCACCCAGAGCTCCTCAAGCAGCTTCACCTGATTCAAATCTGTGAAAATATGTCCTGTTAAACACCTTTTGTGATCCAGTTATTAAAAATAAACAGATCCGCCCTATGCTGTTCTGATGTTGAGCAGAAAGAGCTTCTAGCATGTTGATGTTAAACGTATTTACCTTAGCAACAAATGATCAAGCGTTCACTAAAAAATGCTGTTGTTGCGTTTTAGGTAATAAAACATTTATTTCTTATTTGAAATAGCAATTGGCGTATTTGTTTTACATTTTTAATGTATTTGTAATATTGTATAAAAATGCAGAAGTAATTAAATGAGAAACCTGCAGAATGTGCCATTTTTAATCTGATTAATCAATAGAATAATCGATTAATTGATAGAACAGTCGATTAATTGATAGTGTAATTGATTATTTAAAGTTGCAGCTCTGTCTTGGTTATATTTCTAGTCACTTTTGCAGCCTCCATAGGAGCCTCTGGTCGGCCATTTTCTAAGCTGTGTGCAGTTTGTCCCCAGAGAAGTGGCACAGATTATGGCATTCAGGTCATTCAAGGCTTTGCGGTTGAGCAGATGTTGAAATCAAACTTTGTGCTGCACTTTCTGTCAGGTGGCACTGAAACTGATGTCATTTTGCATGAGAGAAAACAAAACAAAAAGTCAATGTATAGTTTACAGTGCGGCCCGGTGGTCATTGATTTGGACTAACTTTTTGTGGCCCCAAACTTCAGTTGAAGAAAGAAATCAATTTGTTTATCAAACGTTTTATTTCTAATCTGCGTGCATTTATTATTGGCATCATTTTCTTATAATAGAAATTGCTTTATTTTATTTTTTAGTTGTTTTTTTTTTTTTTTTTGCCAGTGAGTAATTTTGACTGAGTGATTTTGGACCACGTGATAAAATTTTGGACATTCCTCACATAAGGGTTTCATATGGGTCAAAATCGATAATTATTACATAGTTTTTTTTGTTTTAAATATCTGCCAAACTGTCAAACTAGTCACCTGACCTTCAGTTTTCTCTCCACACCGTTGATTTTTATTTTTAATCAGTTACGAGGCGCAGTGGGGAAACTTGAAACTGCTACACAAGTTACTCAGAAGGTCGTTGCTAGGCAACGAAGTTGGGGGGAAACCTGAAACAGCTTCTTTCCCAGAAGGTTGTTGCTAGGCAACCGAGCGAGCAGGTTAGTTGATTCCACCAACTTCTCTTAGTGGTTATGGATCAGAGCTCAGTGAATATTGAGTATTCCATCAGATATATTATCTATTGATATTGATCATGTATTTATCCAGGCACATATTGTTATTGATTTGTTGCCCAGCCACAGCAGTCATCCGTTTCCACCGTCACTGAGCTGCAAACGTACCGAGACGTTGCAGAAGTTTTTGAACTCCAGGTAGCTCAGATGCTCGGCCATCTCATCCGGCTCCATGTGGTCGAATATTAACGACACCTTCCTCTTCTTCACCGAGGGCGAAGGCGCCTGCGATGCGTTCAGATGAGGGTTTCTGGGAAAAAAAAACCAAATAAAAGAACAGAATCAGGACAGAGATAGACAGACGTTTTATTTATAGAGAGTTTTCAGACATGCCCAACTGAGCAAACGACAACTCCTGCAGTACATGGTGGTGCAATGCAAAAACACAAAGTCCTACCGAGTATTTCTGTCTAGTTTCTAGTGTAAATCTCTGTTTTGATTATTTCAAGTGTTTACAGGCAGCTTTTTAGACAGACATAGGAGCTTCCTTTAAATCAATAATTCCTTCTTATCTATAAGCTTTACAAGGTTATAAGAAGACATTTCTAAATTTTAAAAGTGAAATAATCTGGCAGTGGAAGTTAATCAATATTAAGAAATTATTGGCTTAAAATAAACTCCCATATCTTACTGAAAAGTTACTTGTGAGTTAATTTTGTTTTATTTCAAGTTTACTGAAATATTTGCACTAGAAACTAAACAGTGTTCCACACTGCAAAAAACACAAAACATTACCAAGTATTTTTGGTTTGGTTTCTAGCACAAATATTTTAGTACACTTTAAATAAAACAAAACTAACTCACAAGTGTCTTTTCAGTAGGATATGGGAGTTTTAAGCCAATAATTTTTGAAAATTATTTTATTGTTCCACTGGCAGATTATTTAATTTATAACAAGACATCTTTCCTGTCTTATAAGTGAAGTAATCTGACAGTAAAACTAGAACTTTTTCATCAATATTCAAGATTGTTGACTTAAAAGAAGCTTATAGATCTTCCCAAAAGCTACTTCTAAGTTAGTTTTGTCTCAGTTCAAGTGTCCTGAGATGTTTTACTAGAAACTGCTGGAGTAAAACTACTTTGTGTTTTTGCAGTGTGTCTCTAACGACAACATGACTCACATGCAGGAGGTGTCGATGAGCTGCGAGTGCGTCTTCTCTCCGTCCAGCCGGACCAGCTCCCATAGATCCCCCATGGTCTGCTCCAGGAGGGGGTCCTTCTCAAAAACGGCCGGGAACTGGCTGATCCACTGCCTTACCCCCGGAGCCCAACACAAAACATGTTTACGACTTGCAAACCGAGCCGGAGGACCGTTTCTGCCGCTGCCCGCTGCCCTTACTCACCTGACCAGGTGGCAGATCTGCGCCCGCCTCAGTCCCCGTTTGTCTACGGGACAATCCTTATAAGTGACAGGAAATGGAGTCAAAGATTCAAACCTGAATGAAGGATATGAATGTGAACTCCCAGCTGCTCTGCAGGAGTCCAAACAAAGCTTTGGCTGTTTGCTGATCTGATTATAACTTTCTAAACATGTGATTTTGGAGCGGAGCTCCAGTCGGTCCAGCAGCAGTGGCTCAAAGGATATAAGGTGAGGAGTTTCTGGACGAACATCTGAGACGGAACCACCCAGCTGTGCATCATCAGGGTCATGTGGACCAGCTGCGAACCGCGGGAGCTGGGCATCTTCCCCTCCGAATCTGGGAGAAAAAACACAGTGATGCGTTTGCTGGGATGAATTTATTCAAAATGGGACAAAGAAGAGCACAGAGATGTGCTGCACCAGCTAGCTAAACATGCTAATTTCCACCTGTTCTCCATCAAAAACATGAAATATTAAAATTCAACACAAAGAGAAATTAAAATAATCACAACAAAAACCATCAGAAGAACAAAACCCTGAAAAAAACACAAAATGTTCCAAAGTATTTTTGGTGTAAATATCTTATTACACATGAAATAAAACAAAAATAACTTTTCAGCAATATATAGAAGCTTATTTTAAGTCAATAATTTCTTAATATTAATGAAAAAGTAAAAAGTTCCACTGGTAGAATGTTCCACTGCCCCGTTACCTAGCAACCCCAGCTAAGCCCATCCGTTACCTAGCAACCAGTTCTAGTTCCACTGGCTGATTATTTCACTAACATGGGGAAACTGTCTTAATATAACTGAATAATGGCCCCAGTTTTACTAGAACTTTTTCATCAGTATTGAGGAATTATTGACTGAAATAAAGCTCCCATATCCTGCTGAAAAGCTACTTGAACGTTCATTTTATCTTATTACAAGTGTGGTAAGATATCTGCACTAGTAACTGGGCCAAAACTAGTTAGTCTGAATAGAGTCTGTGTTTCTGCAGTGCAAGTGACATATTTCTCAGCAGATCTCCAGGTATTTGTGTTTTAGTTGAGCTGATTGATTTAAAACAAAAAGCAGGAAGAGTTTCTGCATCCCATCTAAACAGAGCTTCACTGTATGAAAACCCTTTCCTCCCCGTTTTTGTCTGTCTTATGCTTTCTCTCCATTATGTAACCTTGTTTTGATGGCGACTAAAGGCACATGACAGACTCTGTAGGCACATGTGTGTGTTTGCAACAAAAAGCAGGAGACGAACCGAAACAGTTGAGGCAGCGCTGGATGAGCTCGTCCAGGCTGGCGGCGCTGGCGCTGGGCGCAGAGCTGGGGCTCTGCAGGGCCTTGCTGATGTCCTGCGGACTGGGGCATGTGTTCCTCCGGCGCTGGACCAGCTTCTTGCTCTTCAGCCCGCCGGGAGTCTCAGCATTGGGTTTCCTTAGAGCGAGACAGAGGAGTTTGGGGGGGAATAGAGAGCAGCAGACAGATTTAGAACATCAGTTGTCTAGAAATAAGTAGAGCAACTTGTGGCGAGCTCGGCGCGGGTCAGCATGTGCGGAGGCGCAGCGCCCCACATCAGATAAACTGAGCTGCATCGCTGCAGCTCTGTGAGGTGTCACGCACAGAAAGCAGCTCAGCTTCAGACTCTGCACAGAGACACTGGTTTGGTTTCATTATTCTAAGTCACACAGAAAAGCCAAATGAAAGAGAGCTGCAGCTTTTAGAGGTTTTTAGGTTTATTTACACATTTGAATGCTCTGCAGAAACGTAAAACAAAGTATCTCTATCTCGAAATTTCTTAGTACACTCGAAGTAAACAAAATAAACTTACAAATAACTTTCCAGGAAGTTATTGGGGCGTGTTTTAAGTAGATTCCCCAGCAGATTATTTCACTTACAACATGGGAAAAATGTCTTCTCATAAGTAAGATAATTTGCTAGAACTCAAACAATCTCTTATGTCGTCAAATTATATCGTCAAAAAGTTACTTTTAAGCTAATTTTGTCTTATTTCAAGAGGACTAAGATATTTGCACAAGAAACTAGACAAATATAGTTGGTATGATTTTGTGTTTTTACAATGTGGTCTGGTTTCTAGTGCAAATATCTGAAATTAGGGAAAACTAACACTTTTTAAACTTTTTATGTTACCTAGCAACCCCAGCCAAGCCAGCCCGTAACCTAGCAACCGAGTTCCTACTTGTAAGTCATAAATTCTAAATTTTCTCTTACTCCAAGTGTGTGAAGGTATTTGCATCAGAAACTAGACTAAGATACTTGGTAATATTTTGTGTTTTTGCAGTTTCTATGCTAAGATTATTGAAATGTTTTGGGACCACTGAGGAAATCTAAATGAGATTGAAGCATGTTATTTTAAACACATGGTTCATAAAAACCCCGTTGAGCTCATTGAGTTTTAAACGAATCTGTTAAGCTACGTTGCAATCCGGGGGAGCCCAAAAAAGTCCAAGTTACGCCATTTCTGGATGCCGTCACCGTGGCAACACGTCGCACACATACACACACATGGAAACCTCGCTAGTGCAATTGTTCTTGTGAAATACTGGAAATACGGTCCCGTTTGAAGTTATTGGCTCAGCTCTGCCGAGTCACACAGGGTGAGAGCTGTGACGTTTCAAGGTCTCCTTCACGAATGCCCACTTTTTCTGCGTGTCGTGATCAGATTTGTGCTTCCTCTTCAAAATCCACGTTGAGCAACGTTCGACTTTATTTCACAATAACAACTCTCTGATTCTCTTTGCTCCCTTTTTTAAAGTGCAACTGAAAAAACACAATTTTACCAAGTAGTTTCATCTAGTTTCAAGTGTAAATATCTTATTACACAAAACTAAATGAAAAGTAACTTTTCATCGAAAAATTTGAGCTTATTTTAAGATTATTATCTTAAATTCCTTATTCCTTATTCCTTAACATTGATGGAAAAAGTTCAACTGGCTAATTATTTTTCCTATGTTATAAATGGAATAATCTGCCAGTACTTAATGTAAATAATGAAGAATAACTGACTTAAAACAAGCTCTTATTTCTTGTTGAAAAGCTACTTATAAGTTAGCTTTGTCTTATTTTAAGTGTAGAAACATATTAGCTCTAGAAACTAGACCAAAATACTTGGTAAGATTTTGTGGTTTTTCAGTGTATGGTGTCAAAAGACTGTGAAACAATCCTAATTCTTGTTTGTTTTACACTTTCATTATGAGTCTCTTATGAACTAAAGACAGTGTTGTCTTTAGTTCACGTTTCTCCAAAGAAAACGGAGATGCTAACTGTTTGGTGGTAAAATTGCTGAACTCGTGGTTCATAATCAAAGCTTTTAGCTGCTACATCTTGCTGAAAAGTTGCTTGTTGCTTAGTTTTGTCTTATTTCAAGTTAAATAAGATATTTGTGTAAAAACTAGACCAAAAGTGCTTGGTGAGACTTTGTGTTTTTGCAGTGCAGCACTCATTCTGGGCACGTCGGGTTCACCCTGAAGTAAAGCTTGTCGTTTTGCTCTCGGCTGCTGCCGTTCGTGTCCGTCTGACGGGAGAGCGATCTGCATGAAACCGTGTCAGCCTCTCCGCTGACGGCTGTACCAGGAAACGCAGCCGCTTCGGAGAACTCACAGAGAAGTTCCCTGAACGGCCAGACTTACATCCCCTTCTCTTCACTTCTGTGTGTGCGGCTCATTTCCCCCGGCCTGCTGGCGCTCGCCACATGCACACACACACACACACACACACACACACAAACAGAAAACAGGAGCTTCAGTTTGTGCACAACACACAGGGTGACATTAACCTGTCTATTTATACCAACAGACGCCCCTATGCGCAGCTGCACCCAGGTAGAACGCCACACACCCCTCAGTGGTGACCCCTGACCTGCGGCATCCTCACTGCAGCTCTGCAGGTGGTTCATGTTAAAACCTGCAGGGCGGCGAAACTCACCTCCCCCCCCACAAACACACACACACACACACACACACACTGCCTACTATATTCAAAACACTCCCCAGTACAGCGTGTACCACTGTGGTTCAGCTCACACTGCACTGCAAAAACACAAAATCTTACCAAGTATTTTTGGCTTTGTTTCTAGTTCAAACATCTTAGTGCACCTTAAATAAAACAAAACTAACTTACAGCTAAAACTTCAGCAAGAAACAGGAGCTTGTTTAGGTCAATATTGATCTGAAAAGTTCCTGGCAGATTATTCCAGTTATAACCTGGGAAAATGTTACAAGTGAAATAATCTGCTTTAGTTTTTATAAATATTCAAGTTATTTGCTTAAAACAAGCTCTGATATCTTGCTGAAATGTTGCTTATAAGTTAGTTTATTTCAAGTTGCACTGGAATCTAGACAAAAAATACTTAAGATTTTGTACTTTTGTTAATGATAATGCATTTCCAAAAATATTTTCAAGTATTTATGTCTAGTTTAGTGAAAATATCTTGAAATAGGACAAAACTAACTTACAAGTAATGTTTTAGCAACATATGAGCTTTTATTAAGCAATAATTCATTAATACTCATTAAAAAGTAACTGGTTCCACTGGCAGATTATTTCATAAGTGAAATAATCCAGTGTCTCCTGTATCTTGGTGAGAAGTTACACAATTTACCCAAAATTTATTGTCTAGTTTTGAGCGCAAACATCTTATTATTTGAAATAAAACTAAATGAATTTACAAATAAATTTATAACAAGATATATTAGCTTGTTTTAAGTCAGAACGTCCTTAATATTGATTTAAAAATACCAGTGTGACTGGTAGATTATTTTACTTATATCATGTGAAATACTTTTTCATCAATATTAAGGTATTACTGACTTAAAACATGCTGAAAGTTACTTTTAAGTTGGTTTTGTCTTATTTCAAGTGTACTAACATATCTGCACTAGAAGCAAGACAAAATATTTCAGTGTGAAACACAAAAAGTACAGTTTGTCTAATTTATAGTGCATTTATCTTAATACTTGTAATAAATAAGACAAAAGTAACCTTTAAGTAACAATATTGTGTTTTTGCAGTGTATTTATAAGGAAGAAGCAGAAGAAAAGATGCTAAATCAAGCCGTTTCCCCTTTTTATTCCTTTTATTAAACCTTCTAAAATAAAACCGCAAGGAGTTATTTTTACCCCAAAAACTTAAAATAAATTAAAAGTTAAATTAATCACAGTCCTGAGTGAGTCGGTGGTTTCTCTTTCATCTGTTCGCCCTTTGGCTCAGGTTGAATCCACCTGCTGTCGACCCAGCCGCGCGCGCACACACACATACACACACGCGCGCGCGCGCGGAGAGCCTGAGAACGCTGACGGGGAAACATTGTTGACGTCATGACGTTCGGCAGGGAATTTCCCCTCGGCTTTGCGTCTCAGGTGCGACACGCCGCAGTTTCTCTGTTTTTCACCGAACAACCAGAACAGAGACGGCGCTGTTGGTAAACATGCAAATCTGAACACAAGCGGACTCTGTCTGCGTCCGTTCATTTGCATCCGGCTCTTTCCTCCGAGTCCTGCAGATTCTGTGATTCTAAATTTAACGGCGCTTCCAGGGAAACTGGACTTTCTGCTGAATTTATCCGCTCTGCCTTCCTTTAGGTGGAATGTTGGTTCAGTTCAAACGAGTTTTGAGTTGAAAATCCTTTTTTTCTCCCTAATTAATATGAAAAAGTAACTTTACTTGCATAATAATACATTTAATAAGACACTAATGTGAGGTTTGGCTTAATTTTTACAGTAGATCTGGGTAGTAGCTAGTTACATTTACTCCATTACATGTATTTGAGTAACGTTCTTTGGAAAAAAAATACTTTTAGGAGTATTTTACTACGCTGTACTTTGAGTAATTTTATTCTGAAGTATTTCTGCTCTTATAAAATTTCTGGATTTTCTACCAAATGAATGAAAATCAAACACGTTTTAACCAGAAACCCACCAGAAACACACCTGCAGTTTCTGTTAAAGTTTCATCAGTTTTTTATTGAAAGAAACTGATTTGGAAACATTTTATTTTATTTTTTGATACTTGTATGAATTGTTGTCATTTTCGTCCTTAAAATACCAAAATGTCCACTTAACTTTATATTTTGCTCCTTCTGATGATGTCATTTTTAAATATTAAATGATTGATAATTTGATCAGTTACTCGGTGCTTCTTACTTTATCTTGAGTATTATCTTTGGGTACTCTGCCCACCTGTGGTTTAGTTATTTCTCTTTTGGAGGAAATTATTCTCCATTTTGTTGGTTTATAATTAAATATTTTTTCACTTCTAGCAACAAAAATATTTTTCTTCTAAAATTTTCACTTTGTTTTGTCAAACGTGTTTGAGTAAAAAGAAACAAACGCAACAAGTAGAGCAAAATGTTTGTTTTACTTCACCTTGTTCAGTGTAAGAACATTTACACTTTGCCTTATCGGCCACACAGAATTACTCCAAGGACCACAAACGGCCCTCGCGCCACATGTTGAACCCCCCTGCTTTGGGGGGAATCTGACCCAGAAATCAGCGTCTGGGTTTGCGCTCCCTGCCCCAATCCCGGGCGCCTCACTCTGGCAGGGGAAATGCAAATTCCTGGCTTTCTTTTCTTAATTGATTAATTGATGCCCGGGCCCTTTGAAGGCCTGGATTGTGCGACTCCCTGCGCTTCGCTTCTCACAACCTGGGCTCTTGTTCCCTCTGCATGAAGGGCCATTCATCTAACACTGCACTGCAAAAACACAACGTCCTACCAAGTATTTTTGGTCCAGTATAGTGAAAATAGTGCATTTGAAATAAGACAAAACTAACTTATTAGGAACTTTTCAGCAGGAAATAGAAGCTGGTTTTCACTCAGTAATTCCTTGATACTCATGAAAGAAAAGCACCATTTGCAGATTATTTAACTTATAACGACATATTTTTCCCTTTTATAAGTAAAATAATCTGCAAATGGAACAATAGATTTTAACTTTTAATAGGGGAAAAAATGTCCACTTTACTTTTAAGATTATTTTAACTATAACTACTTATACTTATTTACTTAAAACGCGCTCCTATATTTTTCTTTAGTTATTTGTTAGTTTGTCTTATTTCAAATGTGCTGAGATATTTGCACTAGAATCTAGACAAAAATATTTTACATTTTGTGTTTTTACAATGTGAAATATATAGCAAAAATTAAAAAATCTTACCAACTATTTTGGTTTAATTTAGTGCAAATATCTTAGTACACTTAAATAAGACTTAAAAGTTACTTTTAAGAAAGATATAGGAGCGCGTTTTAAGTAAATAAATCCTTAATATTGATTTTAAAAGTTCTAGTTATAAATTAAATAATCTGCCAGTGAATCAAGACATTATACTTTAAAAGTTTATACTTATAACTCATATTTTTTTCATCAACATTAAGGAATTATTCATTTAAAACAAGCTCCTATATCTAAGTTACTAAGTTAGTTTAGTGAACTAAGACATTTGCAATAAAAACTAGACCAAAAATAGTTGGTAAGATTTTGTGTTTTTTCAGTGTATTATGCAAGGTTGGGTATATTTAATTCATTTATGCTGAGTAATTCCAATGATTATTACTCACAGCTAATAAAAACCCAAATTCAGTCTGAAAATTCAAATATTGCAGAGCACCAATCAGAAAACAGCATTTTTGACGCAATCTGACGGCAGCTGTTGGAAAACCTGCCGACTCGGCAGTTTGACCGTCACTGACACCACAACCCGGATGAGCTTCTTAAAGATGCTGGACGTTTACAGACTCCTGTCGAGGCATGTTAACAGAAAATTGAGTGGAAGGAAAACATTTGATAGAAGCCAGAAGAATGAATGCTTCTACCCTTCAAGCTCATTGGAGAGTTTGAAGATTTATAAAATATGGGGATTCAGGAAGGATTGACTCTGCACTGCAAAACCACAAAACGTTACCAAATGTTTTTGGTCTAGTTTCTAAACATCTTGGCACACTTGAAATAATACAAAACTGACTTACATGTAACTTTTTAGCAAAGATATAGGAGCTTATTTTACTTATGACAATTTTCAAATGTAAAAACTATTAAAGAAAAACTCAAAACCACTTTTTTCTTGCTCTCTGTGTCGGCTACGCTACAAACACAAACCCGTTGCCGTAGCAACTGACTGACAACAACGCCGCTAATGTATCAGGATTCAACATCAAAACACACACAAACGTTTCCCACACAAAGAACAGAACAGCTTTATGTTGTTAGGTCTGATGTTTATTTATCTTTCATTATTAGTTGATCTCTGTGGGAGATTAGCTACAGCTGCTATTAGCTAAGCTAACATTGCGGTGATTCGTTTGCTAATTTAAACACCTGCTCTGTTTATCTGTCAGTTGTTTAGGTCGCCTTTCTTTTTTTATTATTCTGTAACTGAACTGAAATGCACAGAATCCTGCAGCACATCTACATGTTAAGATTGTCATAGTCAAGCTAGCATAACTTGATTATGACTGTCCTATTTTTTTCTTAATTAAAACTTTTTCCTGACCTTTTCTAGTTGTCGTAGTTTAGCAAATCCCTTTTTCTTTTATAGATCAGATGTACATTCGTTATGTTAACAACTTGACAGCTAGCTCCAATGCTAGTCATGTTGGCTAGCAGTTTTTGCCCTCCAGAAGGGGGATGGGTGCAGGAACTTGCTCGTGTTACGTCACAACATGTTTCTAAATTAGCATAGGGACAATTATGTAACCCACAAACAATGGCCCTTATGGGGCCCAGTTTTCAGCCCATCTTCTCCCTGTTTGGGCCCAAATGAAATCAATTCTTGGGAAAGGCGGCGGTTAAAAATTAGTTTCCAGCTACTGTGAGAAACCGTCCTGTCCTAGCAGACGTGTTGTTGGTTTCTGTGCTCCTGTTAATTCAGTGTTTTCCCCAGAGGGAGGGGAACCACGGTTGCGTGGCGGCTGGTTCGGGTCGTCTTTAAACGAAGCCGGCCCAGAACCCACACGTTCAATCCAGTCAATCTGATAACGCCTGCGGTCACAACTCCAGCAGTGGGAAATGGAAAACGTACCAGAGAAAACACCAAAACGGGACGCAGTCTTCTGCAGCAAATGCAAACTGAGGTGTTGTGGATAAAAACTGAAAACGGTTCAGTTGGACAGAGAAGGAAAATTTAAAAAAGCAGAAGACGTTTTCCACAGAAAGGCTGAGCGGTTACACAGCCTGACTGTCAGGGCTGGGCTGTGTGCAGTGTACACACACAGAGATAACTTCTCCTGTCTGACAGGTGAGCAGGTCACACACACACTTATTCTTCTTTTTGCAATAAAATAAACATGAGAAAAGAAAAAGGCTCTCGAAGCGAGAAGTAAAAACCAACAGGCTTTTGTTTCTTTGAACCTTTTGCACAAAAACCACACCAACACTGCATCTCACATTTAACCTCAGAGTTCACAGCTCAGCCCGCTGTCTGTTCTTTACCTCTTGGTCTTGTTCATTGCAGCGCTCTCCTCCTCCGGTGGCGATCCGCTCGGGCATCTGAGCTACAGCTCCATGGTTGACCCCTACGCTCCCGCCTCCTCCTCCTTTTCCTCCTCCTGTTGTGTGTGTTTACAGGCGGGCGAGATGAGGGCCGCCTCACGCAGAGAAGTCATCCACGCCCGAGGAAACCGGCCCGTCGCTCCGTCTCTCGCTGCTGCCTATCGACCGCAAATCAGCAGCAGAGCAGTCCTGCTCATGTTGCCGCTTCCTGCAACAAATTAAAGTTTAGAGAAGGCGCCTGAAGCGAGCTTTTTGGGTGCAAGTGCAAGAGCTGGCAGGTTTCAAGCACTTATCCCCCTTCAACATAAACAAGTCAGCATCTTAGATGGAGGAACTGGCTCTGGCAGATAGGGGAACTTACTGCAGTTTCTGTTTGTGTGTAAAAGTGTGTGTGTTTGTGCGAGGGGGAGGGGTGAGCAGCAAATACAAGTGCAACACCAAGAGAGGAAGGAGGTGTAGAGGTGAGATAGTGATGAGCAATCATATGAGCCCCATCAGGAGGCTTTGCATGTCACACACTTTCTGCAACACTTAGGCAAGCAGCAGCAGATAACGGGGTATTTCAGCAACATCTGATGCAGATGCAAGGAAAAGCAAAACACAAAACGTTAGCCACTGAGAAATTCAGGACAATTTATTTTTAAAAAATTCACTAAAATCGCCAATTGGACAAATGTTTGGTGTCAAATCATAACCTACATATTGTGAATCTAATCAAATCAAATTGATGTTGTCTTAACTTTTTCTGGTGGATATTTTTCAAAATGGCCACCATGCTTGTAATATGTAACATCAGCAGAAGTTATTGGCAGTGGTGGGCAGAGCTAACCAAAACGCTAAGCTCTCAAACCACTAATTTGTGAGCTCAGATAATCTTCGCTCAGATAACGCTAAACCAATACAGACATAAGCAACTGGACGGCAGTCATTCTAAACACACAAAAAATTAGCAGAAGCTAATGCTAAGCTAATAAAAAATGAGTGGACGCTAACACAAAACTGCTAAACTGATGAAAAAATAGCAGGAGCTAATGCTAAACACACAAAGAAATGAGCAGAGGCTAAAGCTAATCTGACAACAAATCAGTGGAAGCTAACCCTAAAATCGTTTTAAAAAATTGCAGAAGCAAATGCTAAACCACTAAGCATATAAAAAAATGTAAAAAGAAATTGTGGAAGCTAGTGCTAAACTTACAGAAAGTGACAACCGCTAAACACAAATTTAGCATAAACTTTAAAAAATTAAGTTCTAAACTGATAAAAACAAAAAAAAAAACAGTTATGGAAGCTAATGTTAAAATGCTGAAACACAAAATATGTGTGGAAGCTAACGCTAAGCTAAACAAATATATGCTAGCATCAGTTGGTAAGTAACTAGTTACATTTACTTGAGTAACTTTTGGAAAAGAAAAGCTTTTAGAAATATTTCTACTCTTGAGTAAAATTTCTGGACTTTTTACCCATTGAATGAAAAATAAAGGTGTTTAAACCAAAACTTCATCAGACACAGACGCACACCTACTGTTTCTGTTAAAGTTTAAGTTTTTTTATTGAAAGAAACTGATTTGGAAAAAAATCTTTGCCTGATTTTGTCATTTTTTTGTTACTTATATAAATTATTGTCATTTTGGTTCTTAAAATACCAAAATTTCCACTTAACTTTGTATTTTGGTCTGTCTGATCTAATTTTTAAATAATTGATAATGTGATCAAATACGTTTTTACTCTTGAGTAATTTCTTGGCTACCTTTTGCTTTTAATTCAGTAAAAATAAGTTGAAGTACTGCTACTCTTACTTGAGATCCATTTTTGGGTATTCTGGTTAGCATAGGGGCGCCGGGAAACAGGGGGCGCCAAAACTAATTAATTATTAAACAGCTGTTAGTAGATTATATGTCCGCATACACGTCAGAAAGTATTTATCTTCTCCTCTATGCGCACTTGAGTGATTTTTACAGTAGTGATCTGAAAACTAGTTAGCATCCTGCTTCCTGAACATGTCCATCATCCTGATTTCATCCTTTTATCGAGTCGCTCCTGAGGGGAGCAGGAGATCGCACAGGGCGGGTAGTGTTTGGGCCGTGCAGCTGGACGGGGCAGACTCAAAGGAATCCTTGTTTTGTCACACCGGGAGGAAGAGCGGACCTAACAGGGGACGTTAATGTCTGCAGAGGTGGCTCCTTTTACCGCAGGAAGCTGCGAGGCGCAGGGTGCGTGATAAGGAATGCCAAAAGCTGACGGACATCATGCGGCTCCTGCGCACGACGCATCCAAAGTCTGTGCGTTTAGATTTGCTCAACAGATTACACGAAAGTATTACAGATTTAGAAACAAAAAAGAAAAAAAAACATGGTGTTTCCCGACACTTTAGTAAGATTACTGTAATGTGAGGCAATATTCCTTTAAAACAGGAAGAGCTAAGGTCACAAGAGATGATGAGACGTTTGACAAGAGAAAAAAGTCACTTCTCCACACTGCTGCAACCGAAGAGAGACTGAAATCTTCATCTCTTTGTGTAAAGCTCCTCATTTGTTCTGGTTTCACAAGTTGACTCGGTTTATTTTCATTAGCAGCAAATGCGGTTGAAGTTTTTATCACGCTTTCGTGGCTTCTTTAAGTTTTGACACATTCACGGATATCAATATCTATAATTGATTCCGAGGAACAACCACACGAACGTCATTGTTTTGAGATTGGGTGTAAAAATATCTGGGACGTTGTCGCCCCCCAGTGGCGGAGCGGTGAAATTGCAGCCGTGACTCGTGAGTCGGCAGAAAAGGCGATCCCAGCCGGTTTCCCCAGGACTCAAACTCCCAGAATTCAACACGGCCGGCTCCTCCTCTCGGCTCGTTGCGCCCCGGCGAGCTGCAGCTGTTGCAGCCCCGCCTCAGGCGTGTCTTTCTGCGGCTGCAGGTGGAGATGGAGAGCATATGGAGCCCGGAAAGGTAAGCGGGTTGGTGGGTTCCTGCTGCCCGGTGAGAGCGTGAGGGGCGAGCCGCCGACATGCGGAGCCGCTGCGCCGGTCCTCGGTGTGTCCAGACCCAGACAGGACCGCCGTCTAAGGCCCGAATGCTAGATGTTTACCTCCGGAGGCTTACCGGAGAGCTTATGAGCAAAGCAAGAGGACAGAGGGGCTGCAAAATAACAGATGAGAAGAATATCGATAATGGCTGAAAAATACCTCCGAGTATCGGTAGAAAAAACGGAGTAAATTTCAATCCAATTTAATGAAATACATTTTCTAGAAAAAAGGGATACTTGTGAGTTTGAAAAGTAAACAAGATTGCTTAAAAAATTGTAGAAAAAAATTGAACGTTTTTTGTTAGGAAAGTCAGAAATTTGCAAGAAAAAACTCCAAATGCAAAGTATAAATCTTAGAGTTTTATTTAGAAAACAAAGATTTTTTTTTTTAGTTTGAAAAGTAAAAAAACATTGCTAGAAAAAAAATCTCCAAAATTTTCTGGGGAAAAAAAGAGAAATGTCCTAGAGTTAGAAAAGTCGAAAATTTGATGGAGGGGGGAAGGGGGGGTAGATTTATATAAAATGTTTTCTAGAAAAAAGGGAAATCCCTGAGTTTGAAAAGTCAAACATTTGCACAAAAAAACTCTAAAATTTTCTAGAACATTTTTTTTAATTTTATGAGTTTGAAAAGTAAAAAAGTGGTAGAAAAAAACTTGAACATTAAAAAACAAATCTAGAAAAAAAACTGGAAAAAATTTAGATCAATCTCAGTTGTTCAGAAAAAAAAGGAAATGTCAGAATTTGAACAGTGAAACAGTTTTCTAGAAAAAAGACAGAAATTTTCTTGAAAAAAGTTTGAAATCCCTGAGTTTTCAAAGTCAAGAATTTGCTTTAAAAAATTGCTAAATTATTCTCTGAAATTCTTTGAAATTTCTAAATTTTTCAAACTCAAAAATTTTAATTTCAAAATTTCTTGGAAAATGTCGACATTTAAGTTTGAAAAGTTGAAAATTTTCTTGACAAAACTCAGAAAAATGTCAAAAGTCAAAGATTGTTGACATTTTTATTTTAAATGAATCATTAAATTTCTGAAAATGTTTAGACAGCGTTGCGCCTACCAACCGAGTAAAACTAATGAACATTTTAGTTGTTTTTAACGTTTAATATCAAGTCATTGCAGTTTGGCTGGTTGGTTTCTTTGGTTCTGATCCAGACAGCAGAGATCAGAAACCCGATCGGATCAGATTGGGTTTTTAATCCAACAGATTTCAGCTTGATTAAAACTTTGAACTTTCTTAAAAACTATTGATCAACGTTTAAACCTGAAAATGTTTCAGTGGATGACGTAAAACTTTTGCTTTAAACCAGAAAATATGTTGGAAGAGAAATTAGAAGAGGAAAATTATATTTGGTCGTTTTAAATTTGCAGAGCGGAAAGCGGCCATCTTGGAAGCAGCTACTGTTCACCTCATTAATCCTGCAGTTTGGAAACACACCCATCGTTTGTCCCCTTGAACTGGACTTATGATGAACAGAACTGCTGGAGTTCATTTAAACTGGTGGAACTAAACTGGTAGAGCCAATTTAAACTGGTCAGTTTCATGAACTGAACCCAGATTTTAAACAGCTGACACATTTGAGATGCTGGAAACCCTCCCTCCCTCCTTCCTCCTTCCTTCCTGGTTCTTTTGGGTTCCTGGTTCTGTCTTGGTTCTGGTTCTGGTCCATCTCTCTCGGCGTTTGTTCTCTCTAAAGCCGAGTCTTCGCTCCTCTTTCCTTTTATAGCCTTCAGGAAGGAGGGGCGGCGGTGTGTGTGTGTGTGTGTGGGAGTTGCCCACTTCTGCAGACATGGCAACCCGCTTAACCGGGCCGGACCGACCCGGGATGGGATGGAGGAGTCCACCAGGTTCCTAACCCCTCCTCCTCTTCCTCCTCCTCTGATGAAGAGCCTCCGCCTGCTGTCAGTCTCTCTCACATCGCGGAGAGAGCAGAGGACTCCGGCCGTCCTCCAGCACACACACACACACACACACACACACAGCGAAGAGCGAGGAAGAGGAGGGGGGCGGACGGATCCGAAACCCGGCTGCCGGGAGAAATAAGACGGGATTTTTTTCTGTTTCCTCCTGAGGAGCTGAGAGGAAGAGGAAGATGGCAGAAGGAGGAGAGGGAGAAGAGGAGATTCAGTTCCTGCGAACGGTGAGACGAAACATTTAATTTCCCCAAATCAGCGATTTAATTTATCCTCCATTTATGATGCTGCAGATTCGCTCTGCGTTCTCGGCACGGAGAGTTTTTACAGCCGAGCTGAAGAATCAGGTCCAGTTATCCAGTTACATCTGGATAAAAAAATAAAATATTTTTAAGATCAATCTCAGAAAATTTCTAGAAGAAACAAGGAAGCTTCTGAATGTGAAAAGTCAAAAATTTACTAGAAGGAACTTTAAGATTATTCTAAAAGATTTTCAAAAAAAAAAATGTTGAAATTTCTGAGCCGGAAAAGTTGAAAATTTTCTTGGGAAAAAATTATGTATTTAATTAAAAAAAAAAAAAAAAAAAAACTTGGAAATTTCTGAGTTTAAAAAGTTGAAATTTGTTTTAAAAAGTCTAAGAAATTTTTAGATTAATCTAAAAAAGAATTCTAGAAAAAAGTAAAGAAAATTCAGAAATTTTCTAGGAAAGCTTTGGAAATTATTTAATGTTAAAAGTTGAAAATTTGGTTAGAAAAAAAACAGAATTTTTTAGAAAAATCTCAGAAATGAGAAAGGTTAAAATATCAAAATTTTTTGATGTTTGACAATTTTTGAGTCTTTTATACTCAGAAATAAAAACAAATTATAAAAAAGTTCTGTTTTAATCTCAAAATTTCTTAGATTAATTCCAAACTTTTCTCCATGTTTTAAGAAAATGTCTGACCTCTATCTTAAAATTGAGTTATTTTTCTACCATTTTTTTACTTTTCAAACTCAGTAATTTCTTGTTTCTCTCAAACATTTCTGAGATTATTCTCAAAATTTCTGAGGTTTTGCAGCAAATTTTTGCCTTTTGAAATCTGATAAATTCTGAGTAATTTGTTGAAAATGGGTTCTTTTTAATCCATGAAGGCTGTCGTTTGAGCAGATATCTGACCTGCTTTGTTCTCTTTTAACTTCCTGGGTCTCATCTCTATCCTCGTTCACTTCATCTTGTTCTTCACCTCCAAATGTTTGGTTTGTTTCTCTAGAATCACTTCCAGAATATTCCTGACAGTTGGATTTGAGCAGTTAGACAGACAGCGGCCGGTGCATCTGTTAGCATCGTTATCTATTTATATCAGAGGAAAGTGGAGCTTGTCGGAGGGGCGAGAAGCAACGAGCTGCCCAGCAGTCTGCAGGGAGCAGCTGCCCTGAAGCGGCGCGTCTTTTTGTTGAGGTGTCGCTTCACGGCGGAGAGGGGGAATCCCCGAAAATATCTGAAACAGCTGGGCTGCTGCGGAGGCTTTCTGTGGCTGGAAGGGTGCAGGACGAAAACACGCAATTAATTGTAATTTATCAATAATTAGAAAAACATTTGGGATGCATTAAGCGCTGTTTAGTCCGCTTTTATCAAACTCTAGTTTGTTTGGAGATGCGGACCAAAAGACGAACTATGATCCGCCTGAAAACCGAGATCGCTCCAAAAGCAGGAAGCGGACTACAGCGCAAGGCATTCTGGGTAAATGCAACAAAAACAAATGCGGCAGTTTGGCGTTAGCGGTAGAAATGTTGTCTTTTACTAAAGACAACAGAGAAATCCTACTACCTGATGCTACTCCATTTCTGTTTACAGCATAAATAACAATTTTGTCTTGTTTTTATTTGACATCTGGTCATTAAAGTAATACAGATCCTGTACTTAAAGGGCCAGTAGTATGTAAAATCGACTCTTTTTAAAAAAACGTTATTACCTCATTAATAACACACCTGGAGTGTTGATTTGATCCGGTTATATATGTTTGAGATATCCTTTAATCGCCATGGGAACCAGTCAGCTGGACAAAACGCCTCGTTGAATTTAGCCCCGCCTCCGAGGACGAAGCTCCTCCCCCTCTCAGCTCCTTCAGACTAGCCTGCAGCGATTAGCAAACACCTGGTGGAGCTGATCATCTGCTGAGCTCAAAAGAGGAGCTACTTCTCAGAGCAACGCTGGAAAAAAGTTTTTAAAGGGTTAAAAGAGGAGCCATGTTGTGATCACTTCCTGAAGGCAGGGCTTCAGAAGGTTTCTTCTTAAAGAGACAGAAACTCAATTTCAAACCAGGAAATAAAATTTCTTTTAAGTCATATTTGATAAATGTAGCATCATTATAACAAATGTAGCATATTTACTTAATTATGCTGTAAAACGTCAGAATACAGGCACTTCTGCCCCTTTAAATCAGGCTTGATGAAGTGTCTGTGGGGACCGAGCTGGACTTGGTGGACAGAATGCAGATCCAGCTCTTTCTGTTTATACTGGGACCAGCTAGCTTGTAAAACTATCCCTGACACCCCAGTTTAACTCCACACTCGTCCAGGCGCAGGGCGAGCTGCTCCTCTCCTTGTCTGGAAACCGTGTGAACTCCATGCATCGAGACGCCTTCAGGCCTGCAACGTTCTTACTGCCAGGCAGCAGCGCTAACCACTGCTAGCCAAAACCAAAATGATGCTTTTCAAGGCTATAATCTAATAGATCTGTCAGATTTGTACTGGTATAACTGGGCTCTATTGTAGTGACGTAAATAAATTACTTTATCTGTTTTTTATTCCTTTACTTTTCTTTTCCCTTAGTGGAAATCTGCCTGAAAGCTGGATTAACATTTCCTGTTTCTTCTGCTGCTGTTTGTTTGCAGATGTTTAGAGTAAAGCTTTGTTTTTAAAGACATATTTTACCAACTTGCTGACTCATCGTGAATCATGATGCAGATCTGAGTCAATTCAAACTGACATTTTCAACAATTATTTTACTTTTCTGCAGTTAAATAAATGTTCAGGGCTGAAATGATGAGATTAATCTACTAACTTTTAATTTAGTGATCAAATAATCACTAACTGGAGCATAGAGACTTAAAAAGGCAACATAATCAGAGCAGAAATTGAGCCTAAACTGAACAAAAAATATATACATTTTGGATTTGTGATAACATTTTCTCTTTTTCTATAAATATATTTTCACCAGAACTCCTGTAGTTGTAGTTTTAGCTTCACCTGTTTCAAATTCCTTAAAAAAATCTCATATTAATCACCTTTTGCTATTAAATAATGACTTGATTAATCAAATAATAAACTACAAGTTATGTGAAGTATTTTTTTAACTGCAGATGCATCGTTTGCAACAAATGATATAAATAAAAATAAATTGGAAATAAAAAAATTATTTTATTTTTTTACATTTTTAAATGTATTTTTAATATTATACAAAAAGGTTTAAGTGATTAAATAAAAACTTGCAGAATGTGCCAGATCTTTTTTATTTGTCAGAATAATCAATTACTAAAATAATCATCAGCTGCAGCGCTACGTTTGATTAGACGTATTGATAAAAAATCAGAGAAATTATTAGAGTTTATAAATACGTCACTCTGGAAGAGAAGTTGAGCTAATTATTGTAAACTGATGTATTAAATCTTAGCAAAGTCACATTTATACGGAGGGCTGATCCTGCCAAAATTGGCCATAAATATAGAAATGAATAAATGACTTGATAAAGATGTTAATGTGCCAAATATTGCATAAAAAACTTTCACAATTTATTTGATTGATCAGTGTGACATAAATTAATATTTATCATTTTCATCAATTTAACTTTATCACTAATATTTAATTCTTCTTTTTATTATCAACTGTATTGTTTTATTATTTTCATTTTTGAGTTTTGGACACAAACTACTTTATCAAGATTTATTGTTAATGGCTACAAAAGAGTGAAAATAAAAATGTGAAGTTAATTTAAAAAAATTGTGCACAGTTTTAAAACTTAATAAAAAATCAAATAGAAATTCATTTTATTGGGGATATTCTGATACAACAGCACCAATCAAAATACATATATCCACACAAAATAATAAAATAGAATATACATATAAACAGAGTAAATAACATGCGGTATAGCAGTGGTGCCCAAAGTCGGTCCTGGAGGGCCAGCATCCTGCATGTTTTAGTTCTCTCCCTGGTTTAACGCACCTGGATCCAATGATGGCTTGTTAGAGGCCCAAGAAGAACACTGACATGCTGAAAAGGTTGTTACTATCACCAGGGAGAGAACTAAAACGTGCAGGATGCCGGCCCTCCAGGACCGATTTGGTAAAATTTCAATATAAATACTCTGCTGTTTTCAAAAATATTGTATTTTGATCTAAATAGGGTAATTTAAAAGAATTGTACAAAATGTGCATGAGTATATGAGCACTAAAAACAAACTATTTACAATAAGTGAATTGTAAGCATTTGTCTTTAAAATGTTTTTTTAGGTGATTGAATCATCAAATTGGTGCAAAGTTCAGTTTTTCAGTGTTGCAGGAGCTTCTTTAGACGCTTATATTAGCATCTAAATATGAGTCGAGAGAAGAGGCTCTGTCGTCCGTTGTTGTTTGTGGATGTAGCTTGTGCGTCAGATTTATGGGCGTACCAGAAACGAGTGAACACAAAGGTTCCACCTGGAACTTTTATAATAAATGTGATTAATTACGCTCACATTTTTAATGCGTTAAAATCTCTGTAATTAATCAAAATTAACTCCTTAAAATCCAGGTGCTGGTTTTAAGATGTGTGTAAATAAAATAAACTTTTCCTGCAGCTTCACACTCCTCTCCTGTAAACAGTGAGCTGTTTTTATTAGCTCTGTTCTCCTAAAATAGTCAAGGGCTGTGACTCACAGAAACACAAGTGTGTCCTCCACATGTTGAGCAGGATTTCTATGCACATTTCTCCACCAACAGCCTGACTTTTCACTGCTCTGCTGTGTCACTTCTTTACATTTGCCGTGTAAATCACGCCGGTGAGTGAGTTTAAGGGGACATTCGAGCTGCAGCCCATAACAGCAGAGTCTTTTTTTAGCTAGCCACTATAACTGCACTCGATCTGGAGGGAAAAACCAGAGGAGTTGATGACCTACTTGTCGGCGTCCTTTGGGAAACGTGGTGTGCGCGTACATAGCGATGTGTTTCTGTGGCAAATTAACGTGATCAATACCGGGCAGCTAATTCCTACTGAGCCCTGTTGCTAGCTTAGCAGTGATGATATTACAGGAGTCACACAATACACTAAACATTTGAAGACAAGTGTTTTATTATTAGTGGATAAATTTTTATTTGCCATACCAATGAGGGTTCAGCTACCAAAAAACCAAACTAATGGAAAAACCTGTCCCCCTCCTCAAAACTGGGGGCGCTGTTCCAAGAACTACTGAAGGAAACGACATGAGAACCTCAAAGAAGACACTGAGCGTAAAATGTAAATAAAAATGGAATAGCGTCAGATTCCATTTGGTTTGGGTAAAAGACCACAAACCATTTTCAGCGCTAGTGCTAGTTAGCATGTTTGTTTTGGTTATATTTACCCAGAATGCCCTGCGCTGTAGTCCACTTCCTGCTTTTGGAGCGTTCACAAACGCATTCGAACTGCACCAGAGTTCATCTCCACCAAACCGAGATCGAGGTTTGTAGGAGGTTAGCTTTCTTGGTTCGAATCAGTTGTAAACAAACCAGACTTTCTAATTAAACGAGCTAGAGTTCAGTTAAAGCGAACTAACCAGGGCATGGCACTAAGTATGGAGCTCTTTTCTACCAAAACTGTCACCATTTTACCAAAGTTGAAGATGTCACCTCCATGTTGAAACCAAACGTCGCCCAATGTTGCCATGTGGAGGAAGGAGTTGTTGCATTTCTCTTTTTCTGTAACACCAGAACTAAAATTAGCAGAAAACTCAAACAGTGTCGACGGTTTTATTATTATTTATAGTCGGAGGTTTTGGTTTGTCATGATGTCAGATGATGGCGAAGGTTAAAGTACGCAGACGGACGTAAAGCATTGGCTTTAGAAGTGCTGATCCGAGGAGATGAACACATCCGGATCGGGTCAGGAACGCAGATCTGCTGCAGCTGTTAGTCTGCCTGAAGTTTACACAATAAACAGGTGTTCAGCACACTTTGTGCATGTGTGTGAGAAGAGCAGTTAAAATGACCTAGCTGTTATGTTGTGTGTGATCTTTAAGGCTGCAGCTGTTGAATCCTGCAGTAATCTGTTATTCTTTTCCAGTTTTATCTCTATTAATTCAATAATTAGTCGAGTAACTAGAGATCCGTCTGGCTTTATCCCTTATTTAGACCCGACTTTCCACAGCTAAACTTAGACTGGGTGACGTTCCTTCTTCAAATGTAACAAAAATTGGTGCTGCTACCATTTTAAAGATATTATTAAATGTTCCCAGAGGTCAGGAAAGGTCAGCTAACCCCCCCAGTTCCTTCAAATTAGGCAGAGTTGGTGTCAGTCAAGCTAAAACTGCCTTCCGATCAGTTTTGGGTTGAACGTATCTGGCAGAAAGTTTTTTGTTTTTTATCTTAAATGCAAAATGTATTTATTTTTTTAGATAAAGTTTCTCCTTAATTACTGCTGGGAACAAAATGTTTTATTAACAAATGGCCTTTTTTGAAGATCAATAGTTAAATTAGTTGACAATTACTTTAATAATTGATTAATTATGATTAGTACAATTAATCGTTTCAACCCTGGTTAGGAGAAGGCTTTTAGGCCGTTGCACGGTAGGAACAAACATTTGTGCAGCAAAAATTTGTTTGTGCTTCTGTCATTTTAAAGATATTAATAAATGTTTTCAGAGGTCATGAAAGGTCAACTAAGCCCCCATTTTCTTCAAATCAGACAAAATTTTCAACATTCAACTCGACTGCGTTTGTTCAGCAAAATGTTTTGTTTGTGCTGCCTTTGCTTTGAAGATATTACAGGAAGTTAAAGGTCAAAAGGTCAACCAGCCCTCCCATATTACCCGAATCTAACAGAATTGGTGTCAGATCTACAGCAAAGGTTTTGTTTGTGCTTCTGTCATTTTAAACATTTTAATAAAAAAAAGTCTCCAGAGGTCGTCATCAATACCTTCAAAGCAAAAGCAGCACAAACACATTTTCTGCTGCACAAATGTAGCCGAGTTGATTGACACCAGATTTGTCTTGATTCTGTAAATGTGACGGGGGTTGGTTGAGCTCTGATGACCTCTAGAAACTTTGATTTGTATTTTTAAAATGTTAGGGGCACAAATCAAACTTTTTCTGCACAAACGCAGCACAAACAATTGACACCAATTCTGTTAGATTTTGGCAATCTGGTTGACCTTTAAACTTTCATTAATATTTTCAAATAAAAAGCAGCACAGCACTGTTCACAACAACTAAGTTTATTATATTATGTTATATATAATTTTTTTTAACAAATAGGTTTATTACATTGTATTTTTTTGCTTTAAAAACAATTGGAAAGTAAAAAACATTTTTCTATTTGTTCTGCTGTATTTATCTTGCAAAATTTGTGTGAAAAGCTAATTTATTTGAGGAAAACAAATAAAAAGTAAATACATTAGAATGTACATGTGACTCATTTCAGCATATTTGTAGATATTTGTACGTTTTCCCCTTTAATTCTGCTGCTGGAATCAGTCGGGATGTTTCAGCTTCATGTTTCTGCTTCAGCCTTTCATGAGGGACTAAGTTTTTATTACAAGAAGTAATAAAACTGTCCTAAACTGTAATGTGTACACTATGTTTTGTGTGTTGCATGTCATTTAATAAAATCTTGGTTTCTGTTGAGATAAATCCAGAAACTGCTAACAGGCTACATATTTTTTAGCATAAAGTTGTGTCGCTAATGGTGGTAGCATGTTGGAGCATCTCTGATGTTATTTTTCTTTTTTGGTTGACATGTTGAATATTTGGACGGTTATTGCCTCTGATTTCTGGATTCTGTGTGGCTAGAAGGATTTTTTTTAATCTCCTTTTTGCTTTTAGACAGTTGTTACATGCATAACCGTGGCAACAAGTTAGTATTTCAAAACCTCACGTAATATCTGGACTACGACCCCAAAATCCCAGAGCTGTTGAAAAGGTTTCAGAGCAGAGAGAGAAGGAAGAAGTTCAGATCATTTCTTCCATCGATCAGATCGAGATTTAAAGAGGAGCGGCAAAAGCAAAGGAGGTGGATTAGCACCTGGGTGTCATCCAGGACAGATTACTGCTGAATATAATCAGCAGTACAGGCGCAGAGAACAGGCGCAACAACGGAGAAACTTTAATGCTAACACAATGCTAACTTTTCCAAAGGTCAACTTTTATTTTCACAATAGACCAAATTTAGTTTTAATTATTTAAAAGAATAATAAAAGCATGTATAAGCCTGTTGCTTTGACAAATTAATTGCTTGATAAATTAAAAGGATCTCCATAATTTCCATTCTGATGATTAATATTTTTATTCATGGTTTCGGTTTTTGTGTTTTATTTTGGATATTTAAGTTATCTTCCTATTCCAGTGTTAATTTTTATTTAAAAATTAAAGTTTATTCATCTCTGAGAGGACAAAACATGCATTATAATCCCATTATCGACACATTATTTGAAAATAGTCTCCAAATAACAATATTATTACCCAGCAAATTATTTATTGTGACAGAACCAAATATGTGTGTTTTTGTTCTTAAACGGTGTCTTTGTTTTCATGCGAGTTGAAATAAATCCCTTTTATCTTTTGCTCCTAACTGGAGCCTTCAGGTCAGCAGACTGCTTTGAATCTTTTTTAAAGAACTGGATTAACGCCAGCTGGAATGATTTATTTATGCCTGGACTTTGCTTTGCTTTGCTGCAGTCTGCTCACATCGCCGCCTTTTAAAGGGCAAGCGGTTGTTTAATCTTTGATGTTTGGCAGTTTGTAGCACAGGCGAAGGCAACGCTCAATACAACCTTAAATTTTAGTGAAAATTTATGCTATTAAAATTAATTATTCATGATTTTGTTCTGATTCAAAGGAAGGTTTTGTAAAAACTTTGACAGAGGTATATTTTTTAGCCACAAGTTTAATGATTTTTTTCCTCCTTTTGGTGGATATTTTCTTTACCAGCTTGTTGTCCTAATTTTCTCAGTGACGTGAGCGACTCTCTGTTAGCTGCTCTTCATCATCTGAGACCTCGGAGCATCCGCTGGTCAGCAGAAGGAGGAAACGTGATAGTGACAGGTGCAGGCGGCTAAAATAGGAGCAGAAGAAGAAGAAGGGGGAGCGGCGTGTGAGAAAAAGAGGCGACAGAGAGATAATAAGATAATATCGCATGAGAAGAAGAATCTGCAACAAAAGCAGAGGCTTTAAAATTAAATGTTGCAGAGTTGTAGAGTTGGGTGATTTATCTTCTGTGCATCTAAAATTAGATTTTTATTTTACTTTATTATTTAAAGTTTTTACAGACACAACTTGTTCCTGCTGGTAGATCTTTAAATGGAGGCACTGAAACACTTTCTGCCTCATTTTTCAGTTCTAAATATCAGAGTTGGGTAGTAACTGGTTACATTTACTCAATTACATAAACTATGGATAATATCAGAAATGTTCTAGAGTTTGATAAGTCAAAAATTTTAAAAATTCAGAAATTGAGATTAATCTAAAAACTTTTCAACTCCCCCCAACCCCTGAGAAAAACGTGAATTTCTCAGCTTGAAAAGCTGAGAAAGAAATTGAAAATTTGCACACGCACACACACACACACAAATAAAAAAAGATATTTCTGAATTCAAAAGTTGATAAATTGAAACTTTTCAAACTCAAATTGCTAAAAGTCAAAAGCACTTCACTTGGAAACTGAAATTAGTTTTTGTTTCTATAACATTTTTCCAATTCATCTCAATTTTTCAGTTTTTAAACACATTTTTGACTTTTCAAACTCCGTAATTTGTCCAAAAAAAAAAAATCATGAAAATTTGAGTTTTTAAAAGTTTACAATTTTTTGATTTTTCACAAATAAAACAACTCAGAAATTTCCACCTTTTTGTAGAGAATTTCTGCAATTAATCTCAAAATATTAATTGAGATGTGCAGAAATGTTAACTTTTTTCCTATCTACAATAGGCCTGTTACATAGTCATATAAATATCAGGGGTGCGAACCGTTCCTAAACACCTGGGTCAGCCTGAAACACTGCCTGGGAATCCGCTCCGTTCATCCGACCTTTGTGATTTCTGCTCGATTCGCTCATTAAGCCTCGCTGACGGCAGCCGCCCCGATCCATCGATTAACTTTCTGCCGGCGTAAGAAGAGTCGGAACCAGCACATCGCTCTGCATGTGGGTGGAGGAGAGGAACTGTTCAAGGAGGCAGAATCGTGACGGGGATTCCCTCCTGACGGACGCAGCTGTAAAATCAGCGGTTTCCCGCCGTGTTTCCCCCTCAGTGTGACGTCACAGGCCTCAGAGAGGGGAAATCCTCCACTGCAGCGTCTGCTTTTCTCCAAAACGCAGACTGTGCACCACATAATGAAAAGAGATTTTACTTTATTACCTAAATCTGAACAAGGAAAATATTTTTAACCTGGATTTACTTACAGATACATCTCAAAATATTAGAGTTAAATATTTCTTGCCAGTTGTGTCATAAAGTAATTTGGATTTTTCATGATTGTGTAAAAATGTTTTTTTAAAAAAAAAAAAAAAAAAATCAAAAAATTGATGTTTTAATCACAAATATCAGGATTTTCAAAAGTATTTACTAAGCTTGTCACAATAATTTTTGCTGGATGATAAATTGTTCCATAAGTTAAGGTAAACAATAATATTGTCGTTTTGAGACCATTTTACTTAATATAATGGTAAGAACATATTCTCAAAATAAATAAGCCTCAAATTCTAATGAACATTTAACTGTCCCAATATTATTTGAATGCTATTTGCTTAAATATTTAAATATCCAAAACAAATAAAGCAGCAACTGGTGATTCTTGAGAAGAGGTCAAAATATGTCTGCTGGATAAAGCACAGAAATTGAATAAAATATACAAAAAATATAATTTCTTAAAATATTTCTTTATTTTATGCAGTAGGTGGATGGTGTCTGTGTCCTGGAGCAGAACTGTATATATTATAATAGTTTAAAACCATTAATGGAATACGAAAATTATTATTCAAATAATTATTTAAATGTCAATGAATTGAATTTTAATTATTTTTATATATCTTCCAACTCGTCAGACATAAAAAGAGCATAAAAAAATCAGGCATTATTAGGGGGCATCAGAAATCCTGAGGACCCCACGACCTTTATCTTCCTTTGCTATGAGGCTAGGTAGCTCTGGTAAGCTAATGTTGTTCTTTAGCTTGTTCTTCCGTTTTATTCCTAAGTTGTTCATCACAACCATATTGTGTCAACACCATAACTGACAATTAACAAAATTTGATGAAATTTGATTAAATAAATGCTTAATTTTTGGTATATTGTAAGGATTTCAAGGAACCGATGAGCTACAAGATGGCCGCCTTCAGAATAACGTCATATAAATGGAGGTAGTTTGGCATTTTGTCAACCGTCAGTTTTTAACAGATAGTGTTCACAAAACTCACGTAAGAGTGAAGTTACTTTATTTTTAATGTATTATGGCATATCTTCACATGCATCAGGTATTGCTGTTTATTTTCAGAAACATAGTTTTATGGACGTGGAAGAGGGGAAAGAAATAAAAATATCAAGGAAAGAAAAGAGGCGTGTTGTATGCTATACAACATTTAAGCATTTATTTAAACGTAGTTGAGTGCAGTGTTTTCTTTTTATTCAATAGTTCGTCACCTGCGTCAGTCCTGTGTCAGGATGGACTTTATGTTGTTTCTTGTTTTCAATATTTTGTTTCTTGAGAAGCATTTGTCTGTAAAAGCATCTGTAATAGTTTCATTAAAAATAATCATATTTACTTTTGTCTGATGGTGTTGACAAAGTTCTGGGTAAGGTCTATTAAAAATGTAATTTTCAAAAAATGTTGCAAATGGGAGGCTGCACCTTAGCATCTTTACATTTCCAAATCAGTATTTGTCATATTTGAGTATGGTACATAAGGTTGAGGAAATTGTAACCCATTTTGTCCTATATCTGAAGAATCTCAAATTTACTCTGTTACTGCCCACTTCTGCAAATATTATTAATATATTATATTAATATAATATTAAGTCTTTTTTTCTGATTCTGTTCTCAGACAGTAAATTAGGCTTCAGTTACTCTGCTGTATTAAAACTGGCACTGTGTCATCATCTTCCAGGCCAACTAACAACATCTGTGCTGTGATTTTTCATTCAGCTTAAAGTTTGCAGATTTTTAAACACCATTTATGAAAGCTTTCATGAGTAGGAGAACATGGGATGATTGAATGAACTTATATAGCGCTTTATCCAATCATTTTTGACCACTCAAAGCACTTTACACTAGAGTCACATTCACCCGTACGCAGCAGCTCGGTAGGCAATTTGGGGTTAAATGCCTTGCCCAGGGGCACATCAACATGTGGCAGGAGGAAGCTGGAATCGAACCTACAACCTTCTGATTACAAGACGACTACTCTATCCATAGAGCCACAGTTGCCCCGAATGAGGATTTTGTCGCGCCTGTTTGCCCCCTCCATGTTTTTTTGGGCATCATTCCCACTTGTCTGCGCGGTCAAACATGGTTACACAAAGGTGTCTATTTCAAAAGGCTGTAAATCCTCGGCTCTTTAATTGCCCCCATGTAGACTGACTGGTGTGTTTGTCTGAGTCTGTGCCACATTGTCCCTTCCTCTACCTTTGACCCCGACTAACACATAGCTACAATCTTTTAGCTGCTGAGAGATAGCAGGGTTTGTTTGCTAACACACACTAGCATGTTGACCAGATTTTGAATGCGTTTCATCAGACAACTTAAATATGAAAGTTCAGTTAGTAGATCTGAACTTAGACTTTTACTCAACAGTTTGTACTTGTTTTTGTTTCCATCAGAGGTGAATAAAATGAAAATAACGACTAGACAGGTTATGTGTTTGAATAGATTTTAATATTTTGAACCTGATGTGATTCTCTTTAGCTTTTTCTTTTGCCTGATTTTGACATTTTTTTCTTACATATATGAATTACATTTTGGTCCTTTAAAATACCAAAATTTCCACTTAGATTTATATTTTGGCCCATCTAATGATGTAATTTTTAAATATGAAATGATTGATAATTTGATCAGTTACTCAGTACTTGAGCATTACTTTTTTATCAAATACTTTTTACTCTTACTTTTTATTTCTTGAACAGCTATTTTTTACTTTTACTTGAGTATAATTTTTGAGTGCTGTAGCCATCTCTGCCACTGACTTATGTAAACAATTCAAACCAAAACGTTTCTCCTGTCCCCCAGCTTCCCTTCTTGACGTTTCGTAGAATCATTTCTGTTTTCTCGGCTCCTGTATGCTTTTAGCAGCTCTTGATTTGACCGTTGAGCGCCGTAGCTCATGTCTGCAGTGAAACGGAGAGGACACATTGCTCCAGTTTGTGAAGTGCATAGCAGGAAATGCGAGGACAGGACCAAGGAGACGTTTCTAGGCTGAGAGGAGATAGATGATAGCCCTTTCAAAGGAAGAGGACGCTCTTCAGCCAAATAACCTCCAGAGGCCTTTAGGCTGAAAAGGAGAAGCAGATATTATGAGGTCACTGATGGGCATTAAGTTGTATTAACCTGTTATGAGCTGCAAACAGCTTTGTCTGCCTGTGGATTTAACTTTAAAGGGGAGCTATTGTGCAGAATTCACATTTTTGTTCTTCACTTTGCATCTTTACTGCTTCTAAAAACAGGTCAAGCGCTGAAAAACAAAGAAACACTCAGTCCTTTTTTGGCAATAAGCTGAAAACAAGCCGCTTCAAATCCTCCCAATTGTTAAGTCAGATGCAACTGTGTGGTTACCTAACAACCCCAGCCAAGTCCAGCCCTGTCACCTAGCAACCAAAGCAGTGCTCCAGCAGGTTTGGCCAGCTGGTTTTATGGCTGTGCAATGGCTGCTGGAAAAGACAAGTGTTTTGTTGTTGACTTCCCATCCAGGTTGTAATTGGTTGTGCAGGAGGCTCCTCTTCTGCTTTTCTAAGGTTGTACGGTTGTAAAATTACTAGGGCTAAGATGATTAATTGTGATTAATCATGATTAACTGATTATTGAAATAACAGTCAACTAATTTAGTAATTGATTAATTGCTAACTAGAGTTTGCGGAATCAAAAAAGATCATTTGGGGGAAAAAGGGGGACGTATTGAGAGCAGTAAATAAATATGTTTTAGCCAAAACTCTTGAAGTGTAAGAGAGGATGATTCGATAAAAGGGGAAAAAGTCTTGACTTGGTCCAGGAGTGTTTAGCCGTTTAGCCAGAGAGGAACAGTAGGGTGATGCTTCCACTTTGATGAGGGTTAGCAGCTGAGAATGCTGCCTGTCAGGTGTTGGTTTCTCACAGGACGGGTGTTTATTGCTGTCTGTGGCATCTCCAGGGATTGACAAGGGAAACAATTACACACTGTCAGTATTAGTGTTTGAGCTGCTGGCGTCTCCTGTGGCTTACAGCAGCGGCGTCCTGTGTGTTTCAGTTCTCTTGCTGGTGGTATTTGGTTCAGGTGTGAACCAGAGATCTGAAACATAAAGTATGCCGGACATTGAAAACTGACTTTGGACACTTCAGTCTTCTGAACAAACCAGTTGAAGTTTATCAGCTGCTTTATCCTCTCTAAATGCCGCTCGCAGTTTCAGATATGTTACTGATTTCTTTTTCTTCATCTGTTTTTCTGCAATAATTTACTGTATAGTTCCCGTCTTTTTCAATGTTTAATACAAATCCACATTTTGTAACATGTTTTGAAAATGTGACTCAATTGCATATCCAAGTCTTAATTCTAAACTTCGTTTAGGTGTTTTCTGTTATTTTCTTACCAAGTATTATTTGTCTAATTTCTAGTGTAAATATCTTAATACACTTGAAATAACACAAAAGTAATTTTTCAGCAAGACATGTAATCTTGTCTTAATTAAATCATTTCTTAATATTGATGAAAATGACTAATTACACTGGCATTTAAATGTACTTTTAACAAGGCATTCTTCCCATGTTATAAGTGAAATAATCTCACAGTGGAACTAAAACTGGGTTGCTAGGTTACGGGCTGGGCTTGGCTGGGGTTGCTAGGTAACGGCGGAGTAGAACATTGTACCAGTGGAACTAGAAATTTTTCGTCAATGTTAAGGAATTATTGACTTAAAACTAACTTCTATATCTTGCTGACAAGCCAATTTTAAGTTAATTTTGTCTTATTTCAATTGTACTGAGATATTTGCAGTAGAAACTAGACAAAAAACTTTGGTAAGATTTGGTGTTTTTGCAGTTTATGCTGCTATTACACCTGAATTTTACCTCCATGATCAACATTTTTAAGGCGGGGAAGTATTATGGAAAATAATTAATTTTAAAACTTTATATAATTTTATATGTAACTGAGTCCATCATGCATGTTACTTCTCAGTCCAACAGTAAGAACGGTTGTAAACAGCATAATGAGGAGTATTGTTGGGATCCTGAAGGCGGAGATTTGAAAAGAACAGGAGCTTCTTAAAGAGACACAGGGGGTTAATGCTCTTTGGGAATCCCTGGTCCAGAGGACCGTATGAAAAGCTTTGGTGGGCCAGATTTGGCCCCCTGGCCTTGAGTTTGACACCCCTCATATAGAGCGAAGAAAGGCACTAAATAAACGTGTTTTTGTGCAGGATGACCAGGTGGTTCTGCAGTGCACCGCCTCCGTTCTGAAGGAGCAGCAGATCAAACTCTGTCTTTCCTGTGAGGGCTTCGGGAACCGACTCTGCTTCCTGGAAACCACGTCCAACGCTCAGGTAACTTCCTGCACTCTGCTGCTGCTCTTAACCTCTTCCTGGTCACCTGTGGTTCACCTGTGGCTCTTCCTCTGCAGAATGTTCCCCCGGATCTGGCCATATGCACGTTCATCCTGGAGCAGTCACTCTCGGTCCGAGCGCTGGTGGAGATGCTGGCCAACACAGTGGAGATGACCGAGGTATCTTAAAGCTGCAGGATGTAACCTTTATAAAAAAGATAATCTTGAGTCATCAAAAATTATATTAAAGTAATAGTATCACTACTTTAATATATTTTTACTAAGGTAAAAGTATAAAGTAGCTGTACAAGAAATAGACCCTTTTCACATGACGTCACATAACCTCCGTTTTGGCTCGAAGCTGTGTA